CCGGGCAAAGCTGCAGCCGCCTGAGGCTCTTTACAGAGCACTCGGGCGGCTGCAGCATGGGGGGGACCGGGGGGGCGGCGGGGCTAGTCATGGCACCCCCCAATCTGCTGGCACCCGGGGCGGACCGCCCCCCCCGCCCCCCCCCTTAGTACGCCACTGCATACTAAGTCTCTCTGGAGGCGTGGGTTTCATGGGAAGTAACATTCTGTTCGGCAAAATGAAAATCTGAACTGTGGACAGACTTGACGGATTAAATAAGACAGTTGTGAATATTATACATCTAACAGCCCACAAAGCTGTCTCTAGAAACATATACTAACTTAATAACTTCTATTCCTGCATCAGATTCACTCCCTAACCATCCTATCAATTTCTATTGAGATAACAAAATACAAAATTTGAATATTTTTTCTAGCAAAAATTCCATTGCTAAAATCTTATCAGTAGCTTCTGAATAACTCTACAGAACACCGAAGAGACAGACCTAAATCGCAAGCATGTCACCACCCCCCTCCGCCCCCTCCCCCCCCGCGTCTCACAGAAGCGAGGGGAGGGGGGGGGGTGTTTTAGCAGAGGGGGATTTGAGTGGAACAAGATGGAAATGGTCACCTCCTGGACGCCCCGACAGGGCACTGGCTGGGATAACTTCCCAGTAACACAATTATTATGATATACATACAGTTCTTAACCCTTTATGATTTATCTCTTCCTCTACCCAACCCTCCTGCTGGATAGCTTTTCTACTCTGTACCATGCTTCAGCAGTACGCAATAAATCATTATCTGTAAGCTTGCCTTTCTTCTCTGTCAGTAATCTACGCCAGCTTTCTGGCTGTAATCTACCACATGAAGGCACAGCAATTTTACACACTTTAGCAATCTTTGCAACATTTTTAACCAGTTCTTCACCTTCTCTATCTTCAACTACATCACACGCGAGCCAGCCCCTAGCGGGCTTACTCGTTTCCTGTCCCATATCCCCCTATACAAAGCGTCCCAAGTATAGGTAAAGGAAAATGAAACAGAACGTCTACAATGCTCGACTGCCACTAGGAAGGGTGGGTCCCTCCCAGTGCCTCTGGAAGGGTGGGTCCCTCCCAGTGCCTCTTCCCAAAACGTAGACCAGTCACTGAATCTGTGTACCCTCGATGGTAACCACGGATTGGAGCGGGGTGAGAAGTGTGTGACCAATCACTTCTCTTTCAAGAGAAATAGGAGTGGATAGTGTAAATAGTACAGGAAGTAAAGTAAAAGTAAACAGTGAAAGTAGAGACAGACCCAGGAGTTTGAATGACTCCACACTTAAGACAACATTTAATACAACATTTCAATTGAAATACAGTGCATGCATCAACAGTAATCCCTTTCCTTTACTCTTGTGGCCACCAAGGCCACCTCCCCCAACCTCATTGTGTCCCCGCTCGGAGAACAACTTTCGTAAGTTTCACTACCAGCGGCCAAGGATAACGACTAACACCGGCCCGAAATCCATATGCCTCCCTCGTTACAGCAGTCCACTTAAGTGTGGCCACCTCTATCCTCACTCCCGTAGTGCTCCCTATGGACCCACCCACAAGTCACACTACCCCGTGGTGATGGAGACAACAATGCCTGCCAGAATCCACACACCACAAATAAATTGGAATGCCACCAGCCTCAGCGCTCGAAGCTGGAGGGTACCATAACCTCTGCAAGCAGAGCAACGTACACAATGAGGCAAGCTAGAATATCAAAGTGACGTAACCGGGAAACCCCAGGAGGCAAGTCCCCTCCACAGATCCCCCAACCCTTCTTTTTCCTTACTACTGTTAGCTAGACAGTACCTAAAAGAAGTAAACAGGAAAACAGGACCCCTTTGGAAAATCCCCACAGGTCCACCCCCCCCTTTTTCCCAACAGTCTGGGCCAAGTGACTCCTAAAAAGGGGTAAAAACAGGCAACAGAAGACCCCCAGGCAACCACCCACGGGTCCACCCCCCTTTATCACAAAAGAGGGAAAGAACAAAACATATACCACTAGCACACCCAGGCAACAGATAGACTAAATGCAGGTAAACAAATGGGTAACAAGACAACGGGCAAGATATTACCTGTCTTTGATGCCCTCCCGGGAAGCAGTCACAGACACGTGGACGGGTCAATCAAAGGGGCTGGAACATACCGGTGGCTCCTGCAGAAGTCTCTACCGTGTACTCAGAGGTGATCAGTCTCTCTTCCTTCCCCCCCGATTCCTCCGTCCAACAGCGTCTTCCTTAGGACGGCTTACCGGCCGGAGGCCATAGCCCGATGCCCCACGTTGGATGGACGCCAAATTGATGTAGATTAATTTAGAAATAAACAAAAATGTTTAAAAGTCTATCTGTTCCTGTCCAAATCTGAGATGAATAAATTGCGTATACGCAGAAGTAAGTTCACACTGACACATGCAGTTCAGGTTAAAAACACTTCAGGAAATTTATTAGCATCTAGTTAAAAAGCGGGCACGCAGGCCTTTTTATATGCAAAATGACATCATCATTGAATATCAGATAATAACAAATAAACATCATTAATTGGGTTAAATGTTAAGTGGCTATGTCAGTGTCCACCCATTAATATTATTAATTGGCTCAGAGATTTGAGTGACTAGTGAGGCACCCTCCCATCATGGGATGTCGTCGCCATTGCTCTTTAGCACGAGGCTTACTCGGTGGAAAGGGGGGGGCTTGGGCATCATTTTACGTAGTTAGTGATGTCAGTCTCGTGGTCTGGTCCAAGGTTCTTTTATGAATAGAACATTTCATTTAGTCGCTGTTCTCCTGGCCTTGGATTATACTATGTTGCAAGTCAACGGAGATCCGCTAACTCTGGGGCTAGTTATGTCCTTAGAGAGAGAAAATACAATCTCTTATTCATTATATTGAATACTGTCATGTAAGGTGAACAAAATGGAGAGTTCTGTCACAGTGTGAGATTAAAAATGGAGTTAGTACAATTATTCAATACAAGTTCAGTAAAGATTTTAATAATTCTACATCAGGTAGGTTTCTAAATGATTTTCAGGTATTATTGTGGTTTAATGATCATCAAAGAGAATATTAATTGAATATTAATAATTTTTGATATACATTTATTCTACAATAGTTATTTTGATAATTGAACAAGATGTCTGCATCACGAAAGAAATTGTCTGGTGCTGCTTTCCGAAAGAAAAGAAGGCTCCAAGAAGAAGACACTTCTAAGATGGCTGGATCATTAAATAGGTTCTTTAAACCTGATCCAGTACTAAAAGCTGTAAGCGAGACTAAAGAGAATCGTGAAGCTGTAGATGTCGAACCACACCCTTCTACTTCAACTACTACTGTGGGCGAACATTCTTTGGGCATAGAAAGTGATACAAACACCGGGGAAGAGAGTTCACATAAATCATCATCATCAGCATCAGAAGATGAAAATGGAAAAAGCACGCTGGTAGACCTCTTTGATCCAGCTGACTGGCCTGAAATGCTTACTAGCTCACTAAAAGAAACCATCGTTCTGAAAGGTCCGGCAAAGCCAAAAGAGCACTTTGCATTTCCTAAAGATGCATCCAAGAGACGGTTTACATCAACCTACTATAGACGGCGCCTTGGAAATGGTGAAGTGCATGTTAGAAAGTGGCTTAGTTATTCTCCTAGACCGGACAAAATATTTTGCTTTTGTTGTAAACTCTTTACAACTACAAAAATGAGCCTGACAACGGGAGGCTACAATGATTGGAAAAATTTGTCCCAGTGTCTGGCTACACATGAAGTGTCTCCATCTCACCTCACTGCTATGGGAAACTGGACAGAACTGTTAACAAGGCTTGGGTCTGGAAGTACTATTGACCATTCATACCAAAGATTATTTGCAACTGAAACGCAGCACTGGCAGAATGTTCTTCAGCGGCTTGTAGCCATTGTTCAATATCTTGGGAAGCAGTGCTTGGCCTTCAAGGGCAGCAGTGACACGCTGTACTCTGAAAATAATGGAAATTACTTGAAACTTGTAGAAATGATGGCAACATTTGATAGTGTGATGCAAAGCCACTTGAAAAAGATACAGAATTCAGAAATTCATCAGCATTATTTAGGAAAAGACATCCAAAATGAACTAATTGGTTTAATTTCAAAAGAAATACGGAGACGCATTCTACGGTTGCTTAAGGATGCCAAGTACTATTCCATTATACTTGACTGCACCCCTGACATCACCCTTGTTGAACAGATGACTATGGTTTTCAGGTTTGTATCTGTTAAACAAGGAGACTCGCCAACTGCAAATCCTGAAATACACATTGAGGAAAGATTTGTTGGTTTCCTGCCAGTTCACAACTCATCTGGAGAAGGATTAACAGAGGCAATTTTGAATGAGCTTGAAATGCTGAAGATACCACTCAGTGATATGAGAGGTCAAGGGTATGATGATGGCTCCAACATGAAGGGAAAGCACTCAGGAGTACAAAAAAAGAATCATGGACCTGAACTCACGTGCTTTCTATGTCCCCTGCAGTGTTCATTCCTTAAATCTTGTAGTAAATAATGCTGCTATGTGCTGTAGGGATGCCAGTACATTTTTTGGCATTCTTCAGAAAATATATGTTTTTTTATCAGGTTCAACAAATCGATGGGATGTTCTAAAAAAGCATGTGAGTAAGCTGACAGTTAAGCCGCTATCTGATACTAGATGGTCAAGCAGAATTGATGCTATTCGGCCATTTAGGTTCCATGTTGGAGAAGTGTATGACACCTTAATTGAAATCGGAGGTGATATGAATTTTGCTGCTCTTGCAAGAATCGAGGCTTCATCCTTGGCAAAAGAGTTAAACAAGTTTAAATTCTTGTGTTTAATCATCCTTTGGTTTAACATACTAAGTCGAATTAATTCTGTCAGCAAAGTTCTTCAAAGCCAGTCAATTTACTTACCAGATGTTGTGGAACTTTTGGAATCAATAAAGACAATTATTCAATCTTATCGGACAGGTGATGGTTTTGAGGATTTACTTAAAGAAGCAGGAGAGCTAGCAGTGAAAATGGAAATAGACCCAGTGTTCCCCCTCAAGTACATCAGACGAGGAAAAAAAAAGGTTGTTTTTGTATGAGGTTCCAGATGACCCTATCTTAGAACCTAAAAATAAATTTAAAGTGGAATGTTTCTTCACAATATTAGACACAACAATAAAATCTGTACATGAAAGATATGAACAGCTTAAATTTCATTCCACGCATTTTCAATTTTTGTATGACATCCACAAGCTAAAAGATGTGCAAAAAGAAGAACTCCTGCAGTTCTGCATGGAATTGCAGAATGTCTTAACGGATGTAAAATTAAAGGAGTCTGCTGTAGATGGAAGGCAACTGTGTGAAGAACTTGCTGTATTGGCTCCTGTTATAAAACCTACAATGACACCTGTTGATATTTTGGCCTACGCAGTGAGGAATGGATTTGCTCCAAATGTGGCAATTGCACTTCGAATTATGTTGACCTTACCAATCACTGTTGCCACAGGTGAGCAAAGCTTTTCGAAACTGAAAGTTATAAAAAATTATCTTCGTTCTTCAATGTCCCAAGAACGGCTTGTGGGACTTGCCATGATAGCAATAGAGAATCGGACGGCCCAGGAGATTGACTTTGAAACATTACTGAAGGACTTTGCGAATGCCAAAGCAAGAAAAGTTAAATTTAATTAGATAGAATAACTGTTAGAAAGTATTTAAGCTGTTTACGAAGTTGTTGAAGCTGTTTACAAAGTTGTTTAGCACTTAAATTGTATGCTGCATTTATATATTTATTTTGCTATGTGTTTGGGGTTCTTTGAATGACCATACCATTTCTATTGTTGCACTTATATTATGCAAGTATGCCACTATAATATAAATGTGGCCATGTGTTTTTCTCTTAACAACTGTATGTTGTATTGCACTTTCAGAATGTTAATGTATTAAACTATTTAAATTCGCACTTTATTTTACATTGTGGCCTTTTGTGCAATTTGTCAGTGTCTTGAACCAAAAGGTGGGGGTGGGAGGGGGGAGGCGCCAATTTTTATTTTGCCTAGGGTGGCAAAAATCCTTGCACCGGCCCTGACGACCACGTGATAAGGTATTTGTGCCTGATGTCGTACTACGATACGTACAAGCCATCGCATCGCTTCCAGCAGCTCTAATGGTATTACAGTGATGCCTCGATGTTGAGGCATCGCTGCAATACCCCCCTCACTGGTGGTGGCTGCCGGAGAACACAGAGTGATCGCTCCCCCGCCGGCAATCGGTCTTTTTCTTAGGGGGGACTGTCTGGGCTGAGCCCAGAGAGTCGACGCTCTGCAGTTTAGGATCCCCAGGGGGCCATGTGACCGCTCTAAAAGAGCGGTCACATAGCCGCAATAGGTGTCCACAGTGCTGCCTGCAGAGGGGGACTGCCTGAACTGACAGGCAGTCCCCCTGCTGGTGAAAAAGTAATACATATTTTTTTTTTTTTAAGTAAATATAAAAGGTAATAAAAAAAATTTAAAAAAATATAAATATATATATGTATATATGAAATATATACATATATTATATCTATATATAATATATGTCTTACATATAACGTCATACTAAGTGTATATTTTTACTCACATATACATATATTAACATAAAAATACACAGAGTAAAATTACACATTAAATTAACTATATATATTGTGTATATATATATATATTATAAAAAATAAATATTTGAAAATAAAAAACTGTAAAAATAAATTTTAAATAATGATATGTATATCTAATTGTATTCTAACTGTATTTTGATATATATATATATATATATATATATATATTTATAGTTATATCAAAATACACTTAGAATGAAATTATATTTATATATTTATATAAATGTATATCCCCTTAACGACCGTGGACATACTATGTACGTCCGACAAAAAAAAAACAGTCTTTAAGCAAATAGGAGCCCTGGACTTGCCTGGACTGGCGATCCGTGGCGATCACAGTCGGGGGGGACTGCCGGAGACCCCAGCAGTCCCCTTGCAGCAGCTCTGGCCACTCCGGCCCTCCAGGGCCATGTGATCACCATGATCACATCGCCGCAATAGGAGTCTAGGAGCTGCCAGCAATGCAGACAGTCCTCCAGGCTGCTAAAAAGTAAAAAATATAGATATTTATATATACACATGTATAATATATTATAAAATAATTAAAACATTTTATAATATATTATACATATATAATGAATATATATGATTTCATTATAAGTGTACTTTGAGATATATACACACGTATTATATGAGTGTGCATATATATCTATACATACATACACACACACACATATTTTTTTATAAAAAAAAAACAAATAAAAATGCTAACTTTGGCCAGTGTTTGTGACTAAGTGGCTACTACAAAAGACTGGAAATACCTAATTTGGAATACCCTGGGTTATCTACATTTGAAAAGGGTATGCCATGATGGGGTTATTTCACATTCCTGGGCTACCATATGGTCTCAAAAGGCAACACACCCCAGCAAACCAAATTCAGCAAGCCCTATATTGACCCTGTTTCCAAAACACCATAAAACCCGTACATGGGGGGTATTGTTATACTCGGGAGACCTAGCTGAACACAAATATGAGTTTTTACAACAGTAAAACTTATCACAACGATGAAATCAGTAGTAAAATTGCAGTTTTTGTGTTAAATGCAAAAAACAAATATGAATGCTAACTTTGGAGGTGTTTGTGGCTAAGTGGCTACTACAAAAGACTGGACATACCCGATTTTGAATACCGTGGGCTGTCTACTTTTACAAATGGTATGCCGTGATGGGGTTAATTTTCATTACTGGGCTGCTATACGGTCTCAAAGGCAACATAGGCCCAGCAAACCAATCTAGCAAATTTCAATGTGCAAACATGGAAAAGGGGAAAGCCCTACATTTGACCCTTGTAAGTTTGTAAAAACCCATAAAACCTGTATATTGGGGGCACTGTCATTCTCAGGAGATGTTGCTGAACACATATTGGGTTTGTTTGTCAGTAATACATAACAGGAGCTGAGAATCATTTTCTTAATTACTTGTGTAAAAAATAACACAAAAAAATGACTACCCAAAAGGTTGACAAAGACTGGTGGTAGAATTAGTGCATGGAAAGTGTGAAAATACCATCATTTGAAATACCCTAGGGTGTCTACTTTTTAAAAAAAAATATGGTTTGATGGGGTAAATTACATTGGCCGGCTTCAAAAATGTCCCAAATAGGACATGGGTGAATGATGACCAGCTGAGAAAATTCCAAGTTGGAAAACTGGAATGCGCACCCTTCCAATATGGTCTTTTAGTCTCCAGAGAACCCGACACACCTATACATGGGGGGGTATCACTATACTCAGGAGATGTTGCTGAACACATATTGGGGTGTTCTTTGGCAGTAACCATTAAAGTTCTCCGTACATGTATTCTTAAATTACAATGTGTGTCGAAAAAATCACCAATTATTTTTTATTTTATTTATTTGGCATAGATTGGTGGTAAAATGGTTACATGAAAAGAGTCAAAATACCCCAAGTTTAATACCTTAGGATGTCTTCTTTTAAAAAAATATATACATGTGAAGGGTTATTCAGGGATTCCAGGCAGATACCAGTGTTACAATGTAACTTGCGTTAATTTTGAAAAAAAAATGGTTTGGAAATAGCAAAGTGCTACTTGTACTTATAGCCTTATAACTTGCAAAAAAAGCAAAGAACATGTTAACATTGGGTATTTCTAAACAAAGGACAAAATTTAGAAACTATTTAGCACAGGTGTTTTTTGGCAGTTGTAGATGCGTAACAGATTTTGGGGGGTCAAAGTTCGAAAAAGTGGGGTTTTTTTCCTCATTTTTTTCATTATATTTTATAAAAAAATTTATAGTAAATTATATGATATGATGAAAATAATGGTATCTTTAGAAAGACCATTTAATGGCGAGAAAAACAGTATATAATATGTGTGGGTACAGTAAATGTGTAAGAAGAAAATTACAGCTAAACACAAATACTGCAGAAATGTAAAAAGAGCCCTGGTCCTTAACGGTAAGAAAATTTTAAAAAGTGAGTGTTAGTGTGTGTGAGTGTTAGTGTGTGTGAGTGTTAGTGTGAGTGTTAGAGTGAGTGTTAGAGTGAGTGTTAGTGTGAGTGTTAGAGTGAGTGTTAGTGTGTGTGAGTGTTAGAGTGAGTGTTAGTGTGTGTCTGCTAGTGAGTGTTATTGTGAGTGTTAGTGTGTTAGTGTGTGTGTCTGCTAGTGAGTGTCAGTGAGTGTGTTACTGTGTGTGTCTTACTGAGTGTGTGTGTGTTAGTGAGTCTGTTTGATGTCTGTTAGTGAGTGTGTGTTTGTCAATGAGAGTGTATGTTTTGTAAGTGAGTGTGTATGTATGTCTGTCGCTGACTGTATCTCTGTCAGTAAATGTGTGTGTCTGTTAGCTAGTGTGTATGCGACTGTAAGTGTGTGTGTGTGTCTTCAGCACTTACCTTTCTCCAGCGCCGGACTCCCTTGGCGCTGAGGATCCCTCAGCCTCTCAGCTCCGAATGCGACCGCGCACGCATTCAAACCGCCCATAGGAAAGCATTACTCAATGCTTTCCTATGGACGTTCAGTGTGCTCCTCTAGCGGCTGTCAGTGAGACAGCCACTAGAGGCTGGATTAACCCTCAGTGAAACATAGCAGTTTCTCTGAAACTGCTATGTTTTCAGCTGCAGGGTTAAAACTAGAGGGACCTGACACCCAGACAACTTCATTGAGCTGATGTGATCTGGGTGTCTGTAGTGGTCCTTTAAAGGACCACTATAGTGCCAGGAAAACATACTCGTTTTCCTGGCACTATAGTGCCCTGAGGGTGCCCCCACCCTCAGGGACCCCCTCCCGCCCGGCTCTGGAAAGGGGTAAAACTTACCTTTTTCCAGCGCTGGGCGGAGAGCTCTCCTCCTCCGATCCTCCTCTTCTCCTCCCCGTCGGCTGTATGCGCACGCGCGGCAAGAGCTGTGCACGCATTCAGCCGGTCACATAGGAAAGCATTCATAATGCTTTCCTATGGACGCTGGCGTGCTCTCACTGTGAAAATCACAGTG